AAGAGGTCTCAGATTATTGGTGCTGAGTTTGTGCTGAATAAAAGCAAATGTATCACTTTGGGATAAATGTTTTTTAGATAGGTGAAATATTTTAAAATGTGAAGGCATGTGAGACTACCTTGAAAGTGGAAAAAAGGCCTCAGGGCCCAGGGGGTTAATATTGCAAATATATTACGTGGTGGTCAAAGTTATTATTATTTAAGCAACAAGGTATGAGAGGCAGTTAAAGAGATAAAGGGAAAGTATATAAAGTTAAAGTGCGTTAACGTTACACCGGGAAAATCCTCAAGAAAACGGTCCAGACTTTAAAAAAAAACATAACAGCATACTCACCTTCAAATTTTTTCCTCTCCTCTTCAGTGACTTCGATACCAAATTGTATTAACTCCTTTATTAAGTGAGCGGTAGACATCATTGCCAGCTCCATCCTGTAGGCCAACGTACACCAGCCAGTCTGACGCAAGCACTTTTAACGGGCTTAGAGCAGAGGAAACACCAAGTTCAACAAAAATCAACCGAACATGGCGAGACACGTGTAAAAATAAGCTTATATTATTATATTATTCGGCATTTACCGAAATATTAACTCCAAAACAGACTTCGCGTTGAAATCCGTGCGAGGTTCTGTCCGAACACCCACAACTCCAGCCAAGCGCGGGAAAGTTTCTTAAAGGGGCAACAACATTTACGTCTACCTAAGCAAGTTTTGAATCTAATTACTTGAGTGTAATTAAACGTAGCCATTCCGCATTGTCCTTATTCCAAATTTCATTCAGCATCTTAAAAAATAACGCAAAGGTCAAAATTTTAAAGTTGTAAAATAATAAAAAATACATTTAATAAAAAAGATTTTCTGACTATAATATTACAACAAAACAACATAAACAGTTGTTCAAAATATTTTATTAAATAATTCCATTAGCATTATGTTTGTTAATTATATATTTAAATGTGTGTCTTGATATCTTTTAATGTGTGTCTTGATTTTTATCATGAGTTGACACACATTAAATTAATAAACAAAAAATAACAACACATAGTTAGATCTACTCTAATTAGGGCTAAACTTAAAATAAATATATGAATAAAAATTAAATAAATCCAAGGTACAAAAATGTACCTTTCACATCTGAATCTGAAAAGTTGTACCTTTATAACTCGTTTTGAGAACATAATTGTACCCTAAGGACCAATTGTGGACCTTTAAAGGTACCATTATATTTTTTGTTCTCCTAAGAACAAAATTGTACCCCTGCGGTACCTTTTTTTCTGACAGTGTAAACTGGTGAGATTTACTCTCGCGCAATAGCATTTAGCGACAGGTAGAAGAATGGTGGCCACAAATCAGGCATCATCGCGTATTAAACACTGTAAAGTCTGGGACACATGGATTAAAGTTTTCCGTCGCTATGATGGATTTCCGTCAACTGAGTGCACCAAAGGTTAATAATGAGATTTATGTAGATCCGAAGGAAAAAATGGGGGGGCTGATTAAATTATTCTTCCTAAAAATAAAAATAAACATTATGGCTTTGGCAGTTCGCTTAAATATTGACGGCTGCCGAGTAGCCTACAGGCTGCAAGCTACTTCCCAAGTTTAAGATGCCCCTAGTCAAAAACTCCTTTAGGATTCCAAAAGAAAATTCCAATTAGAAAATCTATTTGATTTTGGAACCAATCCTATAGGATTTTATCCTGTCCTATAGGATTTTATTCTATCCTATAAAATTCTGTAGGACTGCATAGATTTTGTCTTTTATCCTATAGGATAATATCCTATAGGAATTCTATAAGATTCAATATAATTGTATCCTTTGTCTTACAGGAAAAAATCCTGTGTAGAATCCTATAGGTTACATCCTATAAGATAAGAACTAAACCAAAATGGCACGATCACATGATTATCCCTATAAACTTACATCTAATCCTATAAGAATAAGTCATATAAAAGTCCAAAATACCACATTTTATAAACCTACATAAAGATTTCAAATTATATAGGAATATAGGTTTATTTCTTGTTTAAATGCATTACAATAAATTCTAAATCCTATATATGTCATGCTTGTTAATTATATTAAATTTGGATTTAATTCACACATTTCCATGAACCATTTTAGTAACTACCAGAAAAAACACACTACAACCAAATACATAATTTCATTTTAATTTATTAAACTCAATACAACAATTGTCAAAAACATTACATATGATAGTGCTGAATTAATTAGTCCATCCAAAATAAGAAAAATCCATGTAAGCAGGGGTGGGGGAGGGTGGTATGACACACAAAAATAAATGGGATTCCAGCTGTAGAGGAAGCTAATTCACTCATGGCTGTGTGTGATCCAGGTGCGTACGAAGTTTTAGCAGCTATACTTGCTACTATAGCTGTATTGATCTTGCAATGAGTTTAAAATGATTATACGAGGTATGTACGTGATGGGCTTTATAGTTTAGTCATGGGGTAGTTAGGACTCTATGGATTCGGGTTAATGGAGACCTCAGATTCGTGACTCATGAGTTATTTAACGGATCCGGGTTATTCACCCAGGTGAATCATGAATCGCCCAGCTCTACTTTTTGCCAGGAGAACCAGCAACACGTCACAGTGACACAGAGGAGTTTCTATAAACATAAAACCCTGGATATAGGGGCTCAGTGAATGAGGAGGTGAATCTGTGCAGGGGGGTCATTCCATCAGAGGAGACTCTGTAGAAGGACAGAGCACCAGCCCCCCAGTCCAGATACACTCCTACTCTGCGGGAGCCTGAGGGCTCTATGGGTATGTGAGTCTGTTCATTATAGTGCCGGAAAGAGTAACTGTCAGGATCACAGTCCAGACACCATGACTTGTCATTGTCTCCAAGCAGACAGTCACTCTCTCCTTTCCTCCAGATCCCTTTATAAGTCACTCCTATGTAAGCTCCATCTCCATCCCACTCAGCCTCCCAGTAACAGCGGCCAGTCAGACTCTCTCTGCACAGAACTTGTTCCCAGTCAAATCCCTCTAGATGATCAGGATATGGCTGCCACTCTGCCCCCCGTGTCACCTTCCTGTTCCCCCCTGACAGAGACAGGTGTCCGTGTGCTGTGTTTGGGTCCAGCGTCAGCTGGCAGGAGTCTGTAGGCAAGAGGAAGAATTATTATTACCATCAGGCAGCCTGTACTTTATGTTTCTGTACAATATAAAAACAGCACAGCTTCCCCGAACGAAGCGGGAAATGAAGTTTATGAAATAGCTCAGTTAATGTCGGACGGTGTGCGACGCCGGCGGGAAAAGCCGCTAAAATGCGGCGCGAGCTAAACTAACAGCTTAATTACGGGTAAATAAAATTCCAAAGCAGCGACATTCATCAGACACATTCATCACAAGCATATTCACCACAAAACGGCACCAGAGATCAATAATAAAGTCAGTGTCTTTCCTTTTAACCGCTAAATCTGGCGCGTGCGGCGCATTGCTGCTCTCCGTCTTTCTACAGGGAGTTTACCTTTGAAAATGGCCATCAATAACAGAATATTTAAGTAATGTTATTAAAAATTTAAAGTGGTATTTAATAAAGGTTTGGACCTAGATTCTGATACAAATGCCTCCGAAGACGATTCCGGCGCCAGAATTGCGCTCCATGAGGATCCAGTATTTACAGCGATTGTCTGACATGGTCTTCAGTCACAGCAAAGCCGCTCTGAATGCATTTCACATGCATCGGCTTATTTCCGTGAAGCGTGTCATACTGTATCTACTGATCCGGGAGAAACACTGCGGTGTCAAGTGGGGCGGAATAGATGTTGCGCAAAGTCGGCAAACTAATGAAAATACCGTTTACAAACCATCAATAAAAGCGGATTAAACAGAACGGTTCTCTCATTCGTTCAGAAAAACAGGATGATTATTATGTTAATTCAGAAAAACAGAACTGATTGTTTTTCAGATGAATGCAATACGCTTCCATAGAGAACCGCTTACCGCGTGCGTGACTCTAGATGCGGCGCCGCTGCCGTGAGGCGTGAACCCCGCATCTCGCGCAGGCAGGTGGCCGCTCTAATCTGTTAACATGGACGCCGAAATGAAATTCCATATTTTCCGCCGCACATCCAGTGTGTTCCAGGCACAAATTTCTCTTTTAGAACCGTGGTTCAGGAAATCTTATTATTATTCATGAGCGAAGCCCTACGTGATTGGCTGGCTCGTTAATATTTATGAGAGGGGCACTACCTGATTGGCCAGTGAACATCGATATGCGCTGCCTGTTTTTTCTGCCTAAGGCAGGGGTGTCCAAATCCAGTCCTGGGCAGTGTTGCAAACTTAGCGACTTTGTCGCTATATTTAGCAAGTTTTTAGACCTCTCTGGCGACTCGTTTTCAAAAAAGCGGCTAGCGACAAATCTAGCGACTTTTTTTATTGGAGACTTTTGGAGACTCTGACGAGGAAGCACGTATCGTTCTTACTCTCCTCACCGAGCAGCGGGTGCTGCCGTGGGCTCCCCTTACGTCCCAAAGCATTCACAGGCGGACAGTCCTCACGCAGCAGCCCTGCCCAGCTGCAGTCAGAGCAGGAGATGTTCACCTTTCCGCGTCCAGACTGCAAATTTAATCACGCATGCGCGAATCCACCACTGGCTGATCCTGCCCTGACTTATTGTCAAAAACTCCACCAAGTAAACAGTTAAATGACAGTTTTCAAATGTCACATTTAAAAAAAAAAAAAAAATGACAGTTTTCAAGAATAAGTAAGAGTGAGTGTCTCTTTAGGGTCACTTTTGCTGGTGTTCTGACGAGTTGAGCTACTTTGTTGAGTTAGGCTATCGTAGTGCTAATCGATAGCCCGAACCCTAACCTTAACCCCCCAAAAACCCCTAAAACCATTACTTTAACCCTAACCCTAACCCCTAAAACGGTGGAAATGCACATGCGCAGAAAGGCTCGATAGCACGTCACGATAGGTAGCTCAACTCGTCAGAACACCGGTCCATAGCTTGGATAAAGGAGGATGGTTGGAATTGTGATATAAAAAAAAGAATCGACAGAAGAAAGTTCATTTGTAGTTCTAAACGTATTTAGGGTGCTTTTTAAACACATTTTGTCTCTCCCATGACATTATTCCTCTCTCCTACAGCATCCATTATAATTATATGCACATTATGCAAATTAGGGAATGGCGTCATATAGCGACTTCAATCGACTTTTGGGACAACCAATAGTGACTTTCCTTGCTGAGGAGTTGGCAACAGTGGTCCTGGGGAGCCAGAGCCCAGTGTAGCTTACTTCTTTCTCTGTTCCACCATAAATGATTGAGCTCAAGCGCTGTGTGGTAATTAGCACAAGCAGTTGAATCAGGTGTGTTAAATGAGGGGAAACCCAAAAATGTGCAGGGCTCTGGCCCCCCAGGACTGGATTTGGGCACCCCTGGTCTAAGGCATTCAGTGGCCAATCAGGAATATTATAATAATAATAATACATTTTATTTATATAGTGCTTTTACAAGAACTCAAAGACGCCTTACAGAGAAAGTACACAGAAAACAGATTATACATTATGCATAAGGAAGGTAAAATGCCTTAGCAAAAAGAAAGGTTTTTAGCTTGGTTTTAAAATCTGAAACACAGATCGATAAACACCTACGGGTGCCGTCTTAGGACAATACTAACGAATCTCGCACAGAAAACACATACACTCACGGCATGCGCAAAAAGAACAAATGCAAAGGATTCTTTTTTCGTGAAATTAAAGATGTACAATTACATCAGAATATATTTTAACCGTCTTACACTCCCACACAAAGACGATATGAGCATGTTTTATTGCATGTTTAAATATGTTTTATTTTTCTCATTTGGATGTTGTCTAAAATGACAGAAACAGAAACTCACCTAAACACAAACATGGAAATCCATCTACACACAGTGTAAAAAGCCACACTCATCACAACAATCGTGTGAATACAACCATAACATAGTATTAATGGTATTATTAATAAAAACCTGCAAACACACTTACATTTCTGTACGCCTGGTCTGGTCCTGCACTCTCCACTGTGGTCCACACTATAGGTGAAGCAGAATGACATAGTGCTGCTTTATCCATTTATTTATTGGTGCCTCTTCTTCACATACATGCATAAGTATCTGTAGCGTGTCAGACTCACACTCTGTACTCACTTCAGCTTCTCCAGTTTACAGCTGGGATCCTCCAGTACAGCAGAGAGCAGCTTCACTCCTGAGTCTCCTGGGTGATTGTAGCTCAGATCCAGCTCTCTCAGGTGTGAGGCATTTGACCTCAGAGCTGAAGCCAGGGAGGAACAGCCTTCTTCTGTGACTCTACAGCCTTACAGCCTGCAAAGAGACATACAAAGACTCCCCAATAAATAAGATCACCTCACCGTTACAAGCATTACTTTTAAGTAAAAGTGACTGCTGTAATAAATATTTCAATAATCACGTGAAATTAACAAACAAACAAACAAACTTATTTTTGTATAGCGCATTATCACAACATTACTCAAAGCGCTTTACAGCATCCCCACCCAAAGCCCCCAGTGAGTAAGCCATAGGCGACAGTGGCAAGGAAAAACTCCCGAGAAGGAAGAAACCTTGGGAAGGACCAGACTCAAAGGGGGAGCCCATCCTCCAGGGGGCAGCAGGGAGAGTCAAATAAGATCTCACCCCGTGGGGTCAAAATGATCACAAGAACGGTGAGCAAAAATCCCAGAACCACACGGGGGGACCTAATGAATGACCTGCAGAGAGCTGGGACCAAAGTAACAAAGGCTACCATCAGTAACATGCTACGCCGCCAGGTACTCAAGTCCTGCAGTGCCAGACGTGTCCCCCTGCTTAAGCCAGTACATGTGCAGGCCTGTCTGAAGTTTGCTAGAGAGCATTTGGATGATCCAGAAGAGGATTTGGAGAATGTCATATGGTCAGATGAAACCAAAATAGAACTTTTTGGTAAAAACTCTACTCGTTGTGTTTGGAGGAGAGAGAATGCTGAGTTGCATCCAAAGAACACCGTACTTACTGTAAAACATGGTGGTGGAAACATTATACTTAATTGGGGCTGTTTTTCTGCAAAGAGACCAGGACGACTGATCCGTGTAAAGGAAAGAATGAATGGGGCCATGTATCGTCAGATTTTGAGTGAAAACCTCCTTCCATCAGCAAGGGCATTGAAGATGAAACGTGGCTGGGTCTTTCGACATGACAATGATCCCAAACACACCGCCCGGGTAACGAAGGAGTGGCTTCCTAAGAAGCATTGCAAGGTCCTAGAGTGGCCTAGCCAGTCTCCAGATCTCAAACCCATAGAAAATCTTTGGAGGGAGTTGAAAGTCCGTGTTGCCCAGCGACAGCCCAAAAACATCACTGCTCTAGAGGAGATCTGCATGGAGGAATAGGCCAAAATACCAGCAACAGTGTGTGAAAACCTTGTGAAGACTTACAGAAAACGTTTGACCTCTGTCATTGCCAACAAAGGGTATATAACAAAGTATTGAGATGAACTTTTGTTATAATAATAATAATGAATCCTTTATTGTCCCCATGGGGAAATTCTTTTTATGCCTCCCTCAACTTGCTCTTTGTAGAGCAAGCTGTCTGTGAAGGGCAGCCACCTGTTGGGGCACCCAGGGAGCTGGGGGTTAAGGGCCTTGCTCAAGGATCTGCAGACATGCTGAGGCTGGGTTTGAACTGGCACCCTTGTGATTACAGGAACGCAGGCTTAGCCCACTGAGCCACAAGCTGCCCCTAATTGTCATAGACCAAATACTTATTTTCCACCTTAATTTGCAAATAAATTCTTTAAAAATCAGACAATGTGATTTTCTGGATTTTTTTTCTCATTTTGTCTCTCATAGTTGAGTTATACCTATGATGAAAATTACAGGCCTCTCTCGTAGGGCTGGGCGATAAAACGATTACGATATGTATCGCGATAGACACGTGATCGATATCAATAAAAAATGTGTTCGATAAAACGTTCGATATTTTTCATTCTTCGTCGGAAGAAAACAGAGGTTGCGAAGCTAGTTTGGATCCGAACAGGTGTTCCGGGCAATTCGGTTTCCCTATGTTTCCCCTG